GAATAATAATAATAAGAATAATTAGAAGAACAATAAAGATCTCGTCTATTACACCTGTTCCCTGGTGGCACTAGGTGCTTCACAATAAAATGAAATGTCAACAGCTTACACAATGCTACGTTTTAGGCATACCGCCCCCTTCGATTTAGAACTTTTCAAATCCTTTCAAATTCGTGTGCGCCCGATGTGCACCAGCATGGAAGTTTTAACAAAAGAACACATACACAGAATAACAATCACTGTTGCTGCTGATCACAATTGTTGATGAAAGAAAATTAAGTTTTGAATTCCATTTTATGATACCACGATTTTTGTACACAAATAATAATGTTTGTTAGCTCATGCTAAAACTAGCAGTATGTATTTAATGATATTAGTTTTGAGTGATCACATATGATTTGATCTTCAGTGTACAAACTCTTGTTTTTATGTTCGAGAAAAGATTGTATTTTTTGGGTGATTCACATAATCTATAAGATACCCATACACCTATAAGCTTATATTCGGCACGCTACTTTAAAAGGCAGGACCAATAATTTAGCAGCCATCTTCGACTGGACCAAGACCAATGGGCAGAAAGCAATACAATCTCTCACATAATAAAAATATGGCACTTCGGGAACGACCTTTAGAGATTCTAACTCTAGCCTTCCGACTTATAATCCAGCTTAATAATAACAACTGTGCTAACAGTGCAATCGGGACGACTGTGAATGTTCCAAAGTACAAACGACTAAAGCCTAAAATAGAGAATGTGTATAGTCTGCAAATCTTCCCAAAAATGCAAACTAAATGAACGTTAAAGCACTGAGTGAGTGCATTTGTGAGTCATCCAAAATGCAAACTATCCTGACGAATATAGGTGTAGGCAAATAAAATTGATTACATGAATCGTCCAAAATATACAAACTATACTCAGAGATTTAAAAAAAAAGTGTACACTTACGACCGAAACCAAAAATCATAACGCACCCACTGCTATTTCTAGCAGCAAATATTATTATCTGTTTACAAATAGTAACTGCATTAATTTGCTTGATGTCAAATTGCTTTTTCGAGAAAATAAAGCAACCCAAATTACTCACCGAAATTTTGCAAAGCACATGTGTATGTTTCATCAACAAAAGGGAACAATTAATTAAAAGACGGGAAAGGATACTCGTGTCGAAACAACATTTAAATATAGATAGCCTGAATTTTTATTGAAATAATGTATTAGGTTTGGGTTGGATCAAGCAACAAAAATAAATTTTAAAAAGAAACAAACAAAGAAATATGTTGCCCTTCATAAATGCGATTGCCGGATCCGAAAAGAAAACCTACTTCCTGTAAATGTTTATTGTACAGACAGATGATTGGCTACTTTGGTCTCGAAGTCACACACGCTGATGTCGAAGAAAAGTTAACCCTGACCTGAACCACAGACACAGAACAGTATTTCGACAGCTCCCAAAACAAGAATTGCTCAACTTGTGGGCTGGAATATTCGCAAGTGGTGACGTTGCCACAGGGAACCAACACTTCCGAATGAAGAGGAATAAGATGACAGGATATGGGAGGGAGGGAGGTGGATTTGAATGAACAGTGAGTAGTGGGAATTGGGGAG